GAGCTCTAACACTGCTGCTTTCTCTTCAAGGCCTCCACCAGGTCGTTCTTAAGAGCTTCTTGCTTTGATTTGTCTGCGAAAGTCTGCACAGACCTGCCAGGGAGGAAAGGAGTCGATGAGTCTGTGTCATGGGAGGGGGGACTGCGGCGGCGAGGGCCAGGGCGCCGCAGGGCTGGGTCCCGCTGCCTCCCTGGGTCCCGGACTGGGCACCCCCACGAGCAGCGCCGAGGGCCACAGCGCCCGAGACCCGCACCCTCGGCCCCTCACCAGGCACCACAGGGGAGGCGCACAGCCCACCTGGGCAGGTGCTCACCTCTGCACGGGGGGAGGGGGGGCGCGGGGGGCCGCCTGGTTGGAGCCAACAGAATCCTCCTAATCCACTCTGGGGCCTGAAGCAGAAGGTGGCTCCTGGACTTCCCCCCCACTACACCCCTGCCCAGGAGAGGCGGCCCGCCGCTCACCCCCCAAGTGCAGGGTGCAGAGGGACCCCACTCAGTGAACGTTTAAGACCCTCTGGACAGCTGAGCAGGCTGGGTTCACGTCCAGGGCAGTGCCTGAAGGGCAGGCGCTTTGATCCTTCTGCATGCGACACCGTCAGCCGTGAACTTGGCCGAGGAAATCCCTCGGCCTGGATTTCAAGAGGCAGTATGGGACTGAGATAAGAGGGTCCCTGGGTCCCTGCCGGGTCAAATCCTGGGTCTGTGGGGACACGCTGCCGTGCGTGCACTTGGGCACGGGTATTAACGCCCCTCACCACGGCGAGCCACCGAGCTCCGCGGAGGCCGGACGGCTTACAAAGCGCTTCCCACACACTTCTCCTCTCCCTCTCTCAGCATCCCAGAGGGGGTCCTACCGGTGTCCCCAGTTCACAGACGAGGACACGGAGGCTCAGGGAAATGCCCCCTGACAATGGCCGAACGGTCACTCTGTCAAACTGACCATTATGTCGACCAATCAAGGACTTATCAAACTACTCATTAACTTTCCAACAGTTCTGAAGCAGAGGACAGAAGGGGTGAGGGCTGCCCGGCAGGAAGGCTGTGGACACCAGGCCCCATGGGAATCCCCAGCTCCATGTGCATCAGCCATGAAGAAGGATGGTAAGGAGGGGCCAAAACATAATCCTCAACTTCCCCAAATGGGTAAAGTAACATGAGGCAGTACCCAGGAGAAGAACATCCCAAGTTGAGTTCTGAATCCCAGAAACCTCATGGGAAGTGGCCTCCCAACGCTCTGAGGGGGGTGCGGACAAGACCATCCCTGAGCCACTAGAAACTCTCCCAAGAGCCATCCTTTCTGGTTGAACATTTCTGAACACCTGCCCTGGTGGCCCTTGGCTTCCATTCTTTGCCAGTCCACCACATGCTTCCGGAAAAGCTCCCGGAGGGAGGCTGCCCAGCCTGCATGGGTGCTGGCTCTTCTGGGAAGGAGGAGCCAAGCACAGCTGTACCCACCCCTCAACCCCCACAAGGGAGAAAGTTCCAGAGTTAGAACCAGAGTGAGAATCAGGTAAGAGATGGGAGACTGGGCTTAGAATGACTTAGAGGTATAAGGACCGAGACATTCATTTAGGGGACAGAGTTTGGAAAGGTCACTGCCAAGCCATGTCAAACCAGTGTGGGAAGGAGGACACGTCCTGGACCCCTGGAGTGCCAGCTCCCCACTGCTGCGGGGGAGGGGCGTGGTGGTGGTGGTTTATGTCGGAAAGTCTCCAGTGGTGGCCACGGGACAGGGATCTAGAAGACTTCAGAAACCCCCTCCCCCCAAAAAGCGGAGGGACTGGGAAGAAAACCGCACTATCGTGGCATGCCTTAAAAAGGAGGTTTTCTCCCGCTGTGATGGGAATGTGATGGTCCCAATGTGAGGCCAGACAGACGTGCTGAAGTCCCATGAACGCAGAGCAGCCGAGCCGCCTGGTTCCATGAATGGCCCCACCCCACCCCGCCCCACCCCGCCCCAGAAATCCTGCTGAGCCTCTTCAGGGTCATGCCCCCAGGGGCCAGTCCCTGGGCCTGGGCATAAATCCCTTAGCCCTGGGCTCTGCAGCCCTGCCCTGCCAGCTCTCCAAGGGCCTTCGATTAAAAATAGTTTCCCTCCCCTCCCGGGATGCCGACCGCTTTCATACACCTGTATCCGTCCACGCTCAAGTTGTGGTTCTCGGCTATTCTCAACAAGCAAGACTATTTCCCTTCTGTCGCGTGAGGTGTTTAAAGGACGGCCGCAGCGTGTTAGGGGCAGAAGGTTATGTGGGTCCAAGCAGCAAGCCCGGCCAGGGGAATTTCAGCCTCTGCTCTGTGCTCTAGCCTCAGGCTTGGGGCGATACACCCCTTTCAAAAGTCATGGCCCCCAACAGTCCATTTCCCACCAAGAAGGCTTCTGTGGCCTCTTGATGCTGGGGGGGGGGGGGGGGGGAGTCTGAGGCCCGGGCCGCAAAGACAGTGGACTCCGAGAGGCTGCCTGGGGGCAGTGGCCATGAGGAAGGCCGGGCACACAGCCCTGCTCTGCGGCCAATCGGAGCGGTGCAGACAAGCGGCTTCTGCTGGAGAGGCAGGGTTAATCCCCAGACCGGGCTTCTTCCAGAGCCAGAGCCAAACCCCTCTCTGCCCCACACCCAACCCTGCCCGGAGTACAAGACACACAGAGCACACACGTGACACGGGTCTGTGTTACACGGGGCCGAGGGGACACGTTACCGTGGCCGCCCACAGCCGTAAGCCAGCACACGGGGGTTAGTGGTGGTTTAAAGGGCCGCGTGGCCATGGCTGGTCGGGGGTGGCGGCAGGTTGGTGAGTCCTTGTTTAGTGGGGAGGGTGCTCACGCCTCTCAGGCAGGGTACCTGCGTCGGCTTAGTTATCAGGCTGGATGTGGATCTGGCGCTGGGTCAGCACTTGGGAAAGTTCCCTCTGCAGCTGCTGAAACTTGGGGTGGTCGGGAATTACGTCAACAGATCTACAGAGAGCGGTCAGAGATGAGTGCGGCGGGAGGGGGGGCGACACACCGAGGAGCAGGTGGCCGCTGGAGACGCAGGGACGGAGCAGTGTCGTCAGGGCCCCTGCACTCCAGGGCCGCGGCACAGAGAGGGGAGCCACAGAGCTCGATGCTGGAGGCGCTCACGACTGCCGCCCCCCACACGAGTGTGCTCGCGGAGGACAGGGCGCTGGCCCCACGTGACCAGTTGACAGCGATGTGGCCAGAGCCGGGGAATAAAACCCACCAGGGGCCAGACCGAGTCCCCCATGGGCGGGCGGGAAACTGGAAAGATGAAGATCCAGAGGGGGTTCCTCGCTATTTTAAACTGTAAGGAGGGGGAAGCTAGAAATCTGTCTCCTAGGGGAATTCACAAGTCAGGGGGCCCCCAGAGTGGCTCCCTGCCTCTGCTTTTGGCCCACAAGGAGACTGACCCACGGAACGGGGGCTCAGGGGGCTGGAGGCCGAGGGCAGAGCACCAGACCTTGGCCTCACAGAGTGGTCGGGCAGACGCTATCCCATCTGACCCCTGCCTCCCTGACCGGATGAGGGCCACAGAGAGGAGCCCCTGGCCAGAGCTCGTGCAGCTCAGGTGGGCAGCACCTGTGTGAACTCTTTGTTTTCTGACTCCACGGCCAGTGCTCATCCCACAGCCACCTCTCCTGCCCCTTCAAGGGGCTCTGGCCTCCTGCTCTGTACCCCCGTGGACTTTGAAGAGCCAGAGAGCCCTTCTCAGCCTTCATTTGGGCCAACGCTGTAGAACCGAGGGCGCAAGATGGGTGGGGAGGGGCAGCTGGGGACCACGGCTGTGGCCACCAGACGAACCGGGGGCTGCAGAGGGGAGCAGGCCGCCCGAGGGGCTGCCATCCTTCACGTGTTGTGAGGTCCAGGCAGATGCTTTAGATGGGAATGGCCCGGTGGGGGATGGAGAGGAGGGGGCTCCAGGGACAAGGGCACTGACGGCTGTCCAAGTGAGCGTCCCCCAGAAAACAAGAACAGCAGGGTAGGAACCAGCGTCTATGCAGGAGGTGTCTGACCTTTCAGAATCTGCAGTAACAATCCCACAAGGTGGGTACTTTAGCCGGGGGCACCGATGAGGAACCTGAGGTGCCTTGTAACTACCACGCCGCACACCTAGGATTCAAATCCATATCTTCTGGTTCCGAAGCTCATGCTTTGGGGTACATTACCTCAGCCCATTGACGATGTCCTTTGTTTTTCCAAAGTAGATCTCATTCAGCGTACTTCTGATTTTATTTTCCATGTCCTGGGAAGGGAGATCAGTCAGACAGGATGACAAACAGGAGGCCTGAGGCTCACACCCTCCCCTGTCCCCCCAGCCCACCCCTGCAGTCCCCGCCGTGACCACAGGGGGGAGGTGCAGGACCGCACCAAAGCCAGGTGAGCCAGTCCCCACGGCCGAGATCCCCCCTACAATTTGCATTCTGAGCGCTTCCCAGGCTTCAGGCACTGGGAAGCCAATACTCAGGGACTGGTGGCCAACGCTGACCATGATGGGAGCTGGTCTAAACCACACCATATCACCACCCCGCTGTCCCCCCCACCAATTTTGGGCACAATCCTGTGAAGCCCAAGAGCAGCACCCCTTCTTCCAAAGAGCGTGGCAAAGGGAAGGCAGAGGCAGCTGCAACCTGAGCCCATGGCCTTTGCAGGGGTGCTTCCTTCCTGAGCTCAGGCTTCTGCTGGCACCCCGTGGGCTGGGGGAGCAAGCTTCCGGGAGCGCGCACTGGGGGGGGTGGTGGGCCAGGAGAGGGGGCAGCCTGGGAGCTGAGCCCTGCTTGCATGCCCATCAGAAGGCTCAGAGCACGAGCCCAGGGCAACAGGGCAAAACCCAAGAAACATGAGAGGCGATGCAGGACCGGCATGTGCTGCGGGAGACGCCGCGAGCCCCGAGCCCCACTCACCTCTACCAGGCGCCCGATATTGGCTATGTGCGGGGAGCAGTCACTCACAGTCTCATCCTTCTCCATCTGCCAAAGAGAAGAACGCTCCTCCACGTCAGAGGGCCGGGCGCTCGGCGCGAACGGCAGCCCCTGCCCCCAGCCCCGTCCGCTCGCGTGGTGTGCGAAGAGCTTGGTGTTCCTGCCGCCAGCCGTGCAGCCAGCTGCAGGTGGTTCAAGGCCGCCTGGCCAGTGGGGGACCCAAGCACGCAGGGACTGCAGCTGTAGGGCACAAACAGCCCAGCCGGCAGAGGCCCAGAGGCCCGGTTCCCGGAGGAGGGTCTCCTGCTGCCACGCCCCTCCCAGCCCCAAGGCCACAGCGGGGAGGGCAAAGGGGACCACCCTGGCCAGGCACTGGCTCGGGCTGTCTATCCCCCCATACTTCAGGGGGGGGCATCCACCATGCCCCGACTGCCCTGCGATCCTGACACGGGGGCCTGAGGCTCAGATGGGAGGTGCCACAGGCAGTGAGGGCAGAACCCGGACCAGAGCCTTCTTACTGCGCAGCCTGGTTGGCTGGCCGCGTGGCTGGGGGCGGTTTGAGCAAGAGAATCTGAAGCCAGATTCCTAGACTGTGACCGAGGGGGAACCCAGCAATCCGAGCCTTGGGCAGGGTCGTACGTTCCGGTCGAGTTTTACTGAAAGTATTCAAAGGAGGCGGCAGGTGGGGCGGGGTAGAGGGACAGAGGACTCCTGACCTGTGCCCTTACGCAGGAGCTGCGGACCCCCGCCTCTCCCTCTGCATCGGGCTCATTTCCCTCACGAGACCGTCGATCCCTTAAGGAGAGGTTGCCCTGTCCACACCCTGCGGGGTGCCCGGGAGAGTGGTGAGCACACAAATGCTCGCTGTTTCAGAACGGAACTGTGGTTGAAAATTAAACATGGACGCTGGAACAGGTCATCTTGAGACAGGATGAAAAGCTAGGAACGCAGTATCGGGACAGCCAGAGCTCAGGACTTGAGGCACATAGAGAAAGCATGGGTGAGGCAGGGAGGTGAATGGGCTTCAGAGGCTGGAGACCTGGGCAGACGCTTGGGGAGCACAGCGGTGGCTCAGAGGTCAAAGGCTTTGCTGCCGCTTCTCACTTATCTTGACTTCTCTATCAGGGGGAACGACCTCTATCAGGCCACAAACGGTAGAAAAGACCCAGTTAGGAACGAGATGAGGCCCCAAATGGGCGAGCAGATGGCAGGAGAGACCCAAATCACTTTCACAAGTCCGATTCCGCGGAGCAGTCAGCCATCCCTGAAAAGCGACCGCGTGCTCAGGAGGTGCCGGAACGCCTGAGGAGGGCGGAGGCTGACCCCGCTTTCACGCAACAAGGAAGATGAGAGTTGGAAATTAAACATGGATCTGACAGTGAGCCACACAAGTTTTGATGGGACTGTTTAAAACTCATCTGTTGGCACATCTAAAATCAACTATCTCTAATCTAGGAATCCACATGCGCTCATCGTGAACAAGTGCCACGAGAACCCCTAATTTCCTATTCTGATAGGGATGCTGGGAGCAGAGAACTCCTCTAGGGGTTCTCCACACACCACTGGCAGGTCCCACCGAATCCCCTGTGGCCATGGCTGGGATGCCAGGTTCCCAAGGCGGCCTCTTTGGCGTCCTGCAGGCTTCCTGCCCGGCCCCAAGCCAGCCTGCCTGTGTGGGACTTAAGAGAAGGCACAGCCGTGAGCCTTCTCAGGCTTCTCAGCATCCTGGTGACAGCGAGGGTCCAGACGATCAGAGCCCAGGAACGTGGGCTGCTGCAGAGCACGGCCAAGTGCAGGGTCGCCTGTTCTACTCAGCCTCTAGAAGAACTCTATTTTCAACCCAAGGACATGGAAGCGCAAAGATGTCCTCTGCCCGGATCACAGCACGTTTGCTCTTCCTGCCTCAGGTGGCTGGGGCAAGTGCGAATCACACTCTGGGGCTCAAACATGAAGCTCACCGAGTACAAAACGGGAACCAAGTCCTGTGAAGACACACGTGGTTCTGAAGAGAATGTGACGTGCAGCCCCAACAGCTTTCACACAACGTCAGGGACAGGACCGGTTACCGGTGCCCGGTCAGGGGCAGCGTTCCCAGCCCGGTCCCACGACGGCACTGCAGTGGCGGGGCTCAGGAAGGTACCGGCCCCGCCACATCTGCAGGGCTGGATTCACTTTAGGTGCCGGGTTTGAAGAGGCCCATGGGCAAAGCTTGAAAGGTCTGAACACCCTGACCCCAAGACATGGGCAAGAACGGCGTATGTGCCCTGCTCCCGGCACCCTTAGGCCAACGTTCCTGGGGAGTCTCGATCCTCAGGGACTACCCGGGTCCCTACAAAACCGCAGTGAGAGTGCTCCTGAACTCAGAAGGGAGAGCTACTCCCCATCACTTCAGGTTTCCTAAATACCCCACCCTGGGCCATCCCACAGTATTTGTTGGAACATCTGCCCTTGGCCAACCCCTGCTGCCAAGACGACTGGAGTGTGTGCATGTGGAAAGAAGCTGGGAGCACACTTAGGAGGAAGGATGGTGCACCATCTGCCCTTTTTTTTTTTTTAAAG